AGAAGCAACCCCACACATGAATGGTCTCAGGATGCTTTACTGTTGGCATGACACAGGACTGATGGTAGCGCTCACCAAGGTGTTTTCCGGATGCCCCAAACAATCGGAAAGGGGATTCATCAGAGAAAATGACTTTACCCCAGTCCTCAGCAGTCCAATCCCTGTACCTTTTGCAGAGGATCTTTGCAATGAATTGCAATTCATCTGATCACTCTTCATGACATTCTGGAGTATATGCAAATTGCCATCATCAAAACTGAGGCAGCAGACTTTGTGAAAATTAGTATTTTGACCACGACTGTACACTACACACCATGCTGTTGTAAATTACATTCTGAGCAGTTGTCGGTCCTGTGGAATGCTGTTGAGGTGCTGCTGAATATTTTAGGTTTAATATCAAGGCACTACAGCTGGGAAAACACAGAATGAGGGCTCACAGGCTGGGCTGTGGGGAGAGAGGAAACTCAGGCCAGTATAGGCTAAAAAGCGGTTGCTCTGGACCTGCAGTCACAATAGGGCAGTGACTTGTGACTAGTCAGGAGCAATATAGACCACAGCTCTCAACACTGAGATGACTAAGTGTTCTACTAGACAAAAGAGGAGGAGGAGGAGAGTGATGGACTGACATTACAGTAAGAGGCCCATTGAATAGAGAGAGAGCGAGAGAAGGATTAGATTAGAGAGAGAGATGGATGGATGCAGAGTGAAGAAGAGTCATCTTTACTGTCAGTGAAAGAGGGTGGGTGGAAGATAGAGAGTGCATGCATATCTGTCAAGGCCCAGTTTTATGCATCATAACTAATAACAGAGTTCTTATAGAAAGAAACTCAAATCCAATTCAGAAAACAGGGACTCTCTTTTCCTCATTTGCATAAAGGGTTCATCTTTAGAAAGTGATGTTGTCCAATGTACATCACATTATAGGTGCTGGGCAAAGACGGTGCAAGAATTCACCTTTACTCACAATCATGTAGGCTCATCACTCTGTCCATAGTCATTGGACGGTAATGAAATGTGGGAATTGAGTAAGAGATGTGGTTACAGATCCACACACAGCATCACAACATGGCATAGAGGGAGAAATGGAGATTGACACTCAAAGTACTGTATTAAGTTGAGAAGAAGAAGAGATACAGAGAGAGACAGAGTCATGTCGATAAAGCAAATGGGAACTGAAAGAGCGAGAGGAAAAGAGGCTGGGGGAGTCCATCACTGTCAAACAATGGACATAGTCATCATTAATAGATGGACTAGAAAGGCTACCTGAATGTCTGTTATCCCTCCACTCAGCTAGCTCGCTGCGTTGAACTAATTCCATTATTGATCTACTGAGACCATTAAAAGAGAACATTTAGAATCATTATGAATCAGGAAGGAAATGTTATCAAAAGGCAATAACAATTTGGAGTGTGTCAGAAAGGAAAAGGATTGTACATTAGCTGTCTGCCTGTAACTAACCATGTGTTACCACAGAGAGCCATTGGGTTGTTGATTACAGAGCTCATAATCAATAGTCATTGTACTAATGAAGTATTACTGTCCTCCATAAGGCCCACTATAGACAACTACCCATTTATATCCCAATTTAAGGCCTGTTTCTCCATCAATTGCTCTCTAATTAGAATAAACTAGCTCATTACTAACAGGCTCATCTATAGTGTACATGAATGTGCTGTTATAGCAGTGAGCAGAGTGATGTTTTAATGAAGGGTTGTAATATGTTATAGATATAGTTATACAGGGTAGAACACTCTGGATGTGCAAAAGACGTAGATGATTGTTCCGCAGAGATGAGATATGGGGTCACATTAAATGACATGATTGACTGGCTCATACAGAATATATAGATGATATCTCTCTCTCGCTCTCTCCCCTCATTATATGGCACTCCTCGGTTCAGTGATTTGTTGTTCTCTCTGTCACAGTGGCCAAGTCGGTCTGGGAAGAACGAGTCACATGGCCTGTTCTCGCAGATGGTTGCTAGACTACAACAAGCAGAGATGCAGGAGCAACAGACACTGGGAACAGGACAGAAGGCCTCTGAGTCTCCTCCCTCCTTGGTCTGTCACTGGTTGCATCCCAAATGACACCCTATTCCCTATATAGTGCACTTCATTTGACCAGAGCCCTATGGCTGCATCGACTCCCTGTCCCCAAGCACAGTCTGTGTCTCTCTCTCTCTCCATTTCTCTCTCTCCCTCTCCTTCTTGCTCTCCCTCTCTCTCCCTCTTGCTCTCCCTCTCTCTCTTGCTCTCCCTCTCTCTCTTGCTCTCCCTCTCTCTCTTGCTCTCCCTCTCTCTCTCTTGCTCTCCCTCTCTCTCTCTTGCTCTCCCTCTCTCGCTCTCCCTCTTGCTCTCCCTCTCAAGTACATCACTGGGGCCAAGCTTCCTGCCATCCAGGACCTACAGTGGTGTGAAAAAGTGTTTGCCCCCTTCCTGATTTCTTATTTGTTTCATGTTTGTCACACTTAAATGTTTCAGATCATCAAACAAATTTAAATATTAGTCAAAGATAACACAAGTAAACACAAAATGAGGGTTGTTGTTAAGGGAAAACAAAATCCAAACCCTCATGGCCCTGTATGAAAAAGTGATTGCCCCCTACAACCTAATAACTGGTTGGGCCACCCTTAGCAGCAACAACTGCAATCAAGCGTTTGCGATAACTTGCAATTAGTCTTTTACAGCGCTGTGGAGGAATTTTGGCCCACTCATCTTTCAGAATTGTTGTAATTCAGCCACATTGGAGGGTTTTCGAGCATGAACTGCATTTTTAAGGTCATGCCACAGCATCTCAATAGGATTCAGGTCAGGACTTTGACTAGGCCACTCCAATGTCTTCATTTTGTTTTTCTTCAGCCATTCAGAGGTGGACTTGCTGGTGTGTTTTGGATCATTGTCCTGCTGCAGAACCCAAGTTCGCTTCAGCTTGAGGTCACGAACAGATGGCCGGACATTCTCCTTCAGGATTTTTTGGTAGACAGCAGAATTCATGGTTCCATTTATCACAGCAAGTCTTCCAGGTCCTGAAGCAGCAAAACAGGCCCAGACCATCACACTACCACCACCATATTTTACTGTTGGTATGATGTTCTTTTTCTGAAATGCGGTGTTACTTTTACGCCAGATGTAATGGGACACACACCTTCCAAAAAGTTCAACTTTTGTCTTGTCAGTCCACAGAGTATTTTCCCAAAGGTCTTGGGGATCATCAAGATGTTTTCTGGCAAAAATGAGACAAGCCTTAATGTTATTTTTGCTCAGCAGTGGTTTTCGTCTTGGAACTCTGCCATGCAGGCCATTTTTGCCCAGTCTCTTTCTTATGGTGGAGTCATGAACACTGACCTTAACTGAGGCAAGTGAGGCCTGCAGCTCTTTGGATGTTGTTGTGGGGTCTTTTGTGATCTCTTGGATGAGTCGTCGCTGCGCTCTTGGGGTAATTTTGGTCGGCCGGCCACTCCTGGGAAGGTTCACCACTGTTCCATGTTTTCGCCATTTGTGGATAATGGCTCTCACTGTGGTTCGCTGGAGTCCCAAAGCTTCAGAAATGGCTTTATAACCTTTTCCAGACTGATGGATCTCAATTACTTTCTTTCTCATTTGTTCCTGAATTTCTTTGGATCTCAGCATGATGTCTAGCTTTTGAGGATCTTTTGGCCTACTTCACTTTGTCAGGCAGGTCCTATTTAAGTGATTCCTTGATTGAGAACAGGTGTGGCAGTAATCAGGCCTGGGTGTGGCTAGAGGAATTGAACTCAGGTGTGATAAACCACAGTTGAGTTGTGTTATAACAGGGGGGGCAAACACTTTTTCACACAGGGCCATGTAGGTTTGGATTTTGTTTTCCCTTAATAATAACAACCTTCATTTCAAAACTGCATTTTGTGTTTACTTGTGTTATCTTTGACTAATATTTAAATTTGTTTGATGATCTGAAACATTTAAGTGTGACAAACATGCAAACAAATAAATCAGAAAGGGGGCAAACACTTTTTCACACCACTGTATATACTAGGCGGTGTTGGAGGAAGGCCCAAAAAATGGTCAAAGACTCCAGTCACCCAAGTCATAGACTGTTCTTTCTGCTACCGCACGGCAAGCGGTACCGGAGCGCCAAGTCTAGGTCCAAAAGGCTCCTTAACAGCTTCTACCCCCAAGCCATAAGACTGCTGAACAATTAATCAAATGGCCACCCGGACAATTTACATTGACACCCCCCACCCCCTCGCTGCTACTCGCTATTTATTATCTATGCATAGTCACTTTACCCCTACCTACATGTACATATTACCTCAATTACCTTGACTAACCTGTACCCCCGCATATTGACACGATACCGGTACCCCCTGTATATAGCCTTGTTATTGTTATTTTATTGTGTTACTTTTTATTAATTTTTTTACTTTATGTAGTAAATATTTTCTTAACTCTATTTCTTGAACTGCATTGTTGGTTAAGGGCTTGTAAGTAAGCATTTCACTGTAAGGTCTACACCTGTTGTATTCGGCACATGTGACAAATACAATTTGATTTGTGTTATATCTGTTAATCTCTCACCTCATCTATTTTGCATAATTGTTATAATACTGAATCTCGGTTAAACTTGCATATTTCATTATGCCCCCCAGTGATGGAGCTATTCAATCATTCATTGGATAACTACACTACTGGCACTAGACCAGCCTGCTTATGGAAATGACTGGAAATCCCTGTAGTCTCAACTTCACATTCGTGCTTCCTTGGCAATATGATTTATCGTTATTGCAACATAAATGTGGGGCAATATATAGCCTACCTATCCTACATTTTCTGCATTCCATGATATTTACTCCACTGTGGATAATCAAACTCACATGAACTAAATGCTGTTTACACATGTCTTCAGTCTCACTATATCTGGGTCAAGTTCTGTTTTAGTATAATAAAGGAGGCTGTTCCACCTGAACTCTTCGAATAGGAATGCCCATTTATGTATTCTGATCATGATCTTATTATTATGTAATGAAAGTCATCCCAGCTCTCTCTCCCCCCTCTATCTCCTTATCTACTCTGTTCTATCTCTCCCCCCTCTATCTCCTTATCTACTCTGTTCTATCTCTCCCCCCTCTATCTCCTTATCTACTGTTCTCTCTCCCCCTCTATCTCTCTCCCCCCTCTATCTCCTTATCTACTGTTATCTCTCTCCCCCCGATCTCCTTATCTACTCTGTTATCTCTCTCCCACCTCATCTCATTATCTACTCTGTTAGGGCTCTCCCCCCTCTATCTCCTTATCTCTCTCCTTATCTACTGTTATCTCTCTCCCCCTCTATATCCTTATCTACTCTGTTCTCTCTCTCTCCCCCCTCTATCTCCTTATCTACTCTGTTCTCTCTCCCCCCTCTATATCCTTATCTACTCTGTTCTCTCTCTCCCCCCGCTATCTCCTATTACTCTGTTCTCTCTCCCCCCTCTATATCCTTATCTACTCTGTTCTCTCACTCCCCCCTCTATATCCTTATCTACTCTGTTCTCTCCCCCCCTCTATATCCTTATCTACTCTGTTCTCTCACTCCCCCCTCTATATCCTTATCTACTCTGTTCTCTCTCTCCCCCCTCTATCTCCTTATCTACTCTGTTCTCTCTCCCCCTCTATATCCTTATCTACTCTGTTCTCTCACTCCCCCCTCTATATCCTTATCTACTCTGTTCTCTCTCTCCCCCCTCTATCTCCTTATCTACTCTGTTCTCTCTCCCTCTCACTCCCTTGCTCTCTCTGTTCCAGGCCCGATTCTCCTACCTGCACATGAAGTATCTGTTCTTCTCGTGGCTGGCAGTGTTTGTGGGTAGCTGGGTGGTGTATGTGGAGTACTCATCCTACTCAGAGCTGTGTCGTGGAGATGAGTGCAAGAATGCCATAGTGAGTTCTCTATTTCCTTCTATGAAATGAGTAAATTGATAGAGCCACCTACTGCGTAAAAAAAGACTCTTCCTTCAAATACAGTATTCCAGTGTCAGCTTCCATATTGTATTGAAACCATCCTGTGAGTTACTATACAAACCAACACCACGTCTGTCTACTAGTTAGTTACAGTATACAAACCAACACCATGTCTGTCTACTAGTTAGTTACAGTATACAAACCAACACCATGTCTGTCTACTAGTTAGTTACAGTATACAAACCAACACCATGTCTGTCTACTAGTTAGTTACAGTATACAAACCAACACCATGTCTGTCTACTAGTTAGTTACAGTATACAAACCAACACCATGTCTGTCTACTAGTTAGTTACAGTATACAAACCAACACCATGTCTGTCTACTAGTTAGTTACAGTATACAAACCAACACCATGTCTGTCTACTAGTTAGTTACAGTATACAAACCAACACCATGTCTGTCTACTAGTTAGTTACAGGATACAAACCAACACCATGTCTGTCTACTAGTTAGTTACAGTATACAAACCAACACCATGTCTGTCTACTAGTTAGTTACAGTATACAAACCAACACCATGTCTGTCTACTAGTTAGTTACAGTATACAAACCAACACCATGTCTGTCTACTAGTTAGTTACAGTATACAAACCAACACCATGTCTGTCTACTAGTTAGTTACAGGATACAAACCAACACCATGTCTGTCTACTAGTTAGTTACAGTATACAAACCAACACCATGTCTGTCTACTAGTTAGTTACAGTATACAAACCAACACCATGTCTGTCTACTAGTTAGTTACAGTATACAAACCAACACCATGTCTGTGTGTCTATTTATCCAAGTGTGACAAGTACAGGAAAGGAGTGATTGACGGCTCGGCCTGCAGCAGCCTGTGTGAGAAAGACACTCTGTACCTGGGGAAGTGTCTCTCTGCCAAGCCTAACAACCAGGTCAGATCTGACTCTGATCCTAGTTCTACATTAAATCTCAAAAGTCTTTCCTTTCCTAAATGTAAGAGGGAAGGAGAGCACCTGCATCTCCTCACTTCCTTCTGACATTGGGCAGGTGGTGTGGAGAGAGGACACGAGGAATCAAGGAAGTACTTTTGAGATTCACCCATAGTGTTTAGCGCTACAGTGTTTCTGTGTCTGATAACTAACACCAGCATGTTGTGGGTCTATGTGTGTCTCTCTCAGGTGTACTCAGGTGGCTGGGGGGACCTAGAGGGGGTGATTAAGTGCCAGATGGAAGAGATTCCTCATTATAACCTGGGAGCTGAGATGGAGCACAGGAAGGAGGCATCGCCCTTCAACAAGCCCACCAAGGGAACCTCTGTGGATAAGTTCAAAGAGATGGTCCTCAGCCACCTCAAGGTCAGAGTACTGTCATCTCATTCCAGTGTGATTCATTAGACTACCTGCTTTTCCACTTTATTAATAGGTTCATGTCTGCAACACTTACTTGAAGGTCTTCATAACACATTAATAATCCATACATTATGCATTCATAATCAGGGCACTAATATTTCATAAATGCACATTTATATTTTGTCACAGTATTCACATTCATGTAACTTATTGCTATCTTTGTTAGTGTGTTATGACTTTAGTGGCTAGCGTGTTCATTAATGCAGTTCTGTTACGAAGGTATCTCTTACCCCTTATTCCTCTCCAGACCAAGGTGGGTGAACAGGCCAACCTTCCAAACCTGGTGAGCCTGGTTTTCTCCGTGGCCGACTACAACAAAGACGGCCTCATCTCCTTGCTGGAGGCCCGCTCCATGTGGGCCCTGCTCCAGCTCAATGAGTTTCTGCTAGCAGTAGTCCTGCAGGACAGAGAGCACACCCCTAGGCTCCTGGGCTTCTGTGGGGACCTGTACGTGATGGAGAAGGTAATCTAATAGGAACGCCCATTTATGGATTCATTACATTACATTTACATTTTAGTCATTTAGCAGACGCTCTTATCCAGAGCGACTTACAGTTAGTGAATGCATACTTTTTTTTTTTTTTTCCTACCCCCTGTGGGAACAGAAACAGATTTTTTATTTTCTTCAGACAACACACAAATTAACTACAGCTAACAGGACACAAATTGATTCAAATCATGAGCTTATTTATGTGATGAAATTCATCACATCTCACTCCTCTCCCTCTTTTAATACCCCCCATCTCTCGTTCCCTCTTTCTCTGTACCTGTATGTGATGGAGAAGGTGCCCTACGCTCCCCTGTACGGCATCAGCCTGCCCTGGGCGGTGGAGCTGTGGATCCCCGCGGGGGTACGACGCAGCATAGACCAGTGGTTCACGCCTTCCTGGCCCCGCAAAGCCAAGATCTCCATCGGCCTCCTGGAGCTAGTTGAAGATGTCTTCCATGGCACCTTCGGCTCCTTCCTCATGTGTGACGTGAGCGCGGACGGCTTCGGTTACAACGACCGCCACGACCTGAAGGTGATGGATGCTCGCCACATTGTCCCTGAGGCCACCTTCCAGAAAGCCATGAGGGAGCGGCAGTGCGACACGGACGAGGACTGTCTGTACGGTGCCGACTGTCGCACTTCCTGTGACCTCACCAAGCACAGGTGTACGCCAGAGGTGACGCAGCCCAACCTGGCCAAGGCGTGCGGCACGCTGAAGGATTACCTCCTGAACGGGGGACCATCTGATATTCAGGAGGAGCTGGAGAAACAGCTGTATGCCTGTATAGCTTTGAAGGGCTCAGCAGAACAGATGGAGATGGAACACTCACTTATACTGAACAACCTGAAGACCTTGTTGTGGAAAAAGATATCACACACCAAGGACTCCTGAGGTGAAAACATAGGTACATCCAGACCCTCCACCCTTCTCCCAAAGTGTGTCATGGATTTGAAAGTATTGGCTGGAACTGCGTAAATCCACTACGGGGTGTGTTAATACACACTTCGGGAAAGGATGGATAATCAGGACAAAGATGAACACTACTGCTGCCCCCATAACGCAATCTCCCTCTCCTCTTAAGCTTTTCAGGGAACTATACTGAACAAAAATATAAACGCAACATGTAAAGTGTTGGTCCCATTTTTAATGAGCTGAAATAAAAGATCCCAGAAATGTTCCATATGCACAAAAAGCTTCTCAAATTTGAGCAAAAATGTGTTTACATCCCTGTTAGTGAGCATTTCTCCTTCACCAAGATAATCCATCCACCTGACAGGTGTGGCATATCAAGATGATTAAACAGCATTATCATTACACAGGTGCACCTTATGCTGGGGACAAAAGGCCACTCTAAAATGTGCAGTTTCCTCACACGCCACAGATATCTCAAGTTTTGAGGGAGCGCGCAGGAATGTCCAACAGAGCGCGCAGGAATGTCCAACAGAGCTGTTGCCAGAGAATTGAATGTTAATTTCTCTACCATAAACTGCCCTCAATGTCATTTTATAGAATTTGGCAGCGCATCCAAGTGGCCTCACAACCGCAGACCACATGTAACCACGCCAGCCCAGGACCTCCACATCCGGCTTCTTCACCTGCGGGGTAGTCCGAGACCAGCCACCCGTATAGCTGATGAAACAGAGTATTTCGGTTTGTAATAAAGCCCTTTTGTGGGGAAAAACTCACTATGATTGGCTGGGCCTTGCTCCCCAGTGGGTGATCCTGCCCAGTCAAGTGAAATCCATAGATTAGGGCCTACTGAATTAATTTAAATTGACTGATTTCCTTATCTGAACTATAATTCAGTAACATCTTTTAAAATTGTTGCATTTATATTTTTCAGTATATAAATGAGACAAACTGTTGGGTAAAAATGCTTTACAATAGTTAATTTTGCCCTTCTCGTCATTTGTTTAATGATTACATCCAGACTCAGATGGTACATTTCTAGCAAACAATGCCATTGTATTCCATTGTCAACATTTCCCTCAACGTCTATTTAAAATCGGCATTGAACACATTTTCAGTCTATAGCGAGTGTATTCAAATCGAGCCTGGAGGTCAGCATACTGCCGTTTTTGTTCTACCAGATTAAAATTGCACCTACCTGGTGTCCCAGGTCTAAATCAGTTCCCTTTTAGAGTGAACTAATGAAAATCAGCAGTGTAACTGGCTTCGAGGTCCATATGGTATATGGTTTTGAATCAAGAGATTAGCCAACACTTCAGAGGTGAATAAGTAAACCTATATAAAATAGTAAATCAGATCCATGTCCAATTCTACACAATCTCAACCACTTAAACAGTAGCTTCTATAATAGAAGGGTGCACCAATAACACAGAGGCTGTATTATTTTTCTATATATTTATTAGAACAAAGAATTGTCACTACATCATTAGGACCAGAGAGTTTAGCTGTCGGCAGCCTCCTGTTCCTGAGCCCTGAGGAAGCTGGCCTTCTTCTGAGCAACGCGGTCTTTCCTCTGGGCCAGAGAGAGCTTGGCACGGTTCCACCTGGGGTGGACAAACAGGTCAGAATTATTACATTACAATACATTTTAACAATGTCAGGGAATACCGAAGGGAACGTGACTACCATGCCAAGGGCAGGGTTGGGGACTTGGGGTCAATTCAGTAAGTAAACTGAAATGTGTTGTTAAAATACAAAGAGGTAGATTGGAAATTGAATTTCAGTTTACTTCCCAGATTGAAATGGAATTGACCCAAACTCGGATCATGATCATCTAGGCAAGTTTTACCATCAGGTTTTAGAGTCATAACAGCATGAAAACCAACAATGCAGTAGTAAGTACTGCATTCCCAATAGAAAATAGCCAAAACTGCTCATCAACTTGCCTCTTCTTCTTGACTTCTTTCTTGGGCTTCTTTTCGTGGACTGGGTTCTTACGAATGCCAGCATGTGCCTTTCTGTACATCTCCTCAACCTGCGAGACAAGTTTGGCAAACAAATTAGTAGTGGGCAGATAAGTCAATTCCATTGACTTAATACACATTCTCGCAACGGTACAGGCTCCTGCTGGATGCAGACTTGATTCAGTATAGTTTCCACTCTACACATTGCAATATATATATGTTTTACATATCCAATTAATAGGGATGAGTTGGATGTCACATTTGTCAGTTGTATTTTAGGACTAGTACATGTATGACACAGAAATTAATGAACTGTGCTGCTCTCAGCCCCGTCTTGAAACGTTGATTACATCAATCTGGACAAATGAAGGACCAACTACAATTTGCTCAGCCTCAAGTGTATCATCATCAAGCAGCACACAGTTCCTACATAGACGTACGCTGAATTCCAAATTGACCCCTATCCCCTCCTGTAGATCAGAGAGCATTGGATAGATGTAAGCACTTGAGTGACGCAATTTATGTTCTACATTTAAATAATAGGCCTCCGTGAACACGCAAATGGAGGGCCAAGGGTAAGGGACTGGTTTCGGATTCAGCACAACTTTCCTTTCAGAATGTATTTGCATCAGAAGCTGATATGATCCCAGTATGCTTAAAAGCATGAGGCCTAAGAATTGAACAGAACAGTAGTAGCTACCCATACCAGCTCAGGTTCAGTTCAGTGAAAACCGGGTAGAACTGGGTGTGCGATAAAATCCCAAGTGGCTAATAGTGCAGATAATAAACTCGTAACACGTCCCCTATAGCTCAGTTGGTAGAGCATGGCATTTGCAACGCCAGGGTTGTGGGTTCTTTTCCCATGGGGGGCCAGTATGAAAATGTATGCACTCACTAACTGTAAGTCGCTCTGGATAAGAGCGTCTGCTAAAATGACTCAAATGTAACCATCCAGCTGTGGTGTAAGGTAACTAATAGAGCCAGGTATTGGCAGGCACCTCCCGATACATCACAATGGGTTCAGGGTGAACCTTGAACTTGCCGTGTCGGGGGCAACGCCATTCTTGATGAAGCGGGAGAACTGCTTCTTGTATGCGTCCTCATCCTCCTCCATCAGATAGCTCATGTACTCCGACACATTGACGCCCATGATGTGCTTGCGGTGGACCTCTGCATTGAACTCTTTGCTCTCAGCATCATATCCAGGGAAGCGCTTAGTGCTAGGGGGAATGGAAGGAGGAAGAGGGGACAAGACACAATGTCAGACAGAAAGGGGCTACTGAACCAGGCTAATACTTCATTCACTTTGAGGATTATAGGCAGTGCACTAAGACCAATAGTTCCACTAAGGCCATATGACATTATTTATTGCAGAACACCCAAGGATAACACATTTGGCAGGTAAACTACTGATTCATATTGCTCTCAGCCCCGTCTTGAAACAGGACATGTTACATCAACCTGGGCAAATGAAGGACCAACTACAATTTGCTCAGCCTCAAGTGTATCATCATCAAGCAACATATAGATCCTGACAACTTCAGAAGTACTAGCCTAGTCGCAGATCTGTGTGATGAATACAAACAAATCTTTGACCTGGGGATGTATGCATCAAGTGCCTCAAGAGTAGGAATCCTGATCTAGGATCAGTTTTGCCTTTTAGATCACAATGAATAAGATTGTGGACAGGGGGGAGCTGATCCTAAATCAGCACTATTACGCCAAGACATTTGATACATATGGCCCCTGGCTACAAATGTGTTCTTAACGCAGAGGAAGCGTTATTACCTGTGGGGGATGGACAGGCCTCCATCCACAGCCCCCTTCAGGGCGCCGAACACCTTGTTGCCAGTGCTGGTTCTGGCGAGCCCTGCATCCAGGTAGCAGGTGAACGCACCTGGCTGACCGTCGATGCTCTCCACGTTGAACTCATCTCCGGTGACCTCCACCTGTCCCTCGTACACCTTGTCCAGGCCAAACTTGTTCAGCAGCTGGAGAGGAAGACAAAAACAGGATTAGAGAAATCTGTTATAGTATTAAGCCAAGCTGACTACATTGGTAGGGTGTTCTCACTCAGCAAGAAACAAACACCGGAGGTGGCTAAAGCAGAGAGAGGTCCTCTATGAGTGGTCCTGTATGGCTCAGTTGGTAGAGCATGGTGCTTGCAACGCCATGATTGTGGGTTCGATTCACGGGGCCACCCATACATAAAGAACGTATGCACGCATGACTAAGTTGCTTTGGATACAAGTGTCTGCTAAATGGCATATTATATAACAGTCAGTTGCTAAACAAGTGGATCAAGTCAAACGGACAGGCAGCCTTTTGGCTGACCAACTGCCAATTCTTCACAATGAGCAAACAGAAGCAAAGCGTTCAATAGGATTGTTTGGCCATTCAGATGCAGAACAGACATACTTCCCTCATGTAGAACAGGGAATAATGGCATCTCTATAATACACAATCCAGAGTTCTGTCAATAGCTTAGAAATTAGTTCAAGGTATAAAATACTAAACAAGGTTTGAGGAAAGTAAATGTCACTAGAAATGTTGAGAAAAGATTGCATTTTTCATTAACAGGGCAGAAACATAGAATGCCCATTAACTAATAGACCCAGTGCTGCAAATTGAACAAAACTAAAAGAGGGAGCCATCAGAGCAGGGGTGTATGAGAGCTGATCTTACCCTGCGGGCCAGCAGCAGACCAGTGCAGTAGGCTGCTGCGTAGTTAGTCAGACCCACGGCAATCCCGTACTTGGGCAGCTCGTGGGAGTAGGCAGCGCACACGATCATGTCCCCCTCGATCTTGGCATAGGCAATCTGGAGCAAATCACATAAGCAAGTAACACATGAGAAACAATGACAACATAGGCTACAGCATTTAAGGCATAATCGCGTGTTGCCCTGATCTCTGGTAATCAATCAATCCCCTCATGGTATGGGACATTTCCGATTACCTCCTTAAATCAAAGCCAAAGTAAAAACATCATGGGACATGTGAGAATGATGGGTCAATATAGTTGAATTGAGAATGCAGTTAACTTTTGCTCAGTGGGTTAAGCTGGACTAGAGCATGGTGCTCAGGTGGCTACAGAGTTTTGGGTTTGACTAACGTGGGCCACATGTGTAACTGTCAATTGTGTTTTACTGATGAATGTGTTACTGTAATCGTAAGCTGCTTTGGATAAACGTTTCTGCTAAATAAGTTGTCCATTGTGGTAATTCCAGCATTTTCTCATGTGAATCCCATCTTACCTGGCAGACGATATCCCGGTTGGAGAAGCGGACGATCATCCTGTACTTGGGTGTGTTGTACTTGTTCTTATCTTGGATGACCAGGCGCTTACGGGCGAAGTAGTCGGTCTTTCCCTCTAAGTAAAACAAGGATAACCAAGTCAGTCAGGTGGAATGAATAGGGTATTTAGCGTGAAAGGAAATATCAGGACAATCATGGCATTTACATTTACTTTCTACTCGATTCACGTGCTAAAACAAATAATTCAGACAATTTAGAAATCCCTTACCCCTCCTCCTCCTGAATTTGACCTGGTACCTCTTGAAGTATGACTTATTCTTCACCACTTTCACAAAACCCTATAAGAGAAGACCGTAATATAATTTGCATGTCGGTACAACTACATAGCTACTTGTCAACAGACAAAAAATAGACCTAACGTTACACATGCTGTATTGAAAGTTTATTTTATGTGGCCAAACTGTCAGACATTCTGTTACACGAAGTCTTGGGCGGCTAGCTAGCAGTTAGCTAGCACAGGGATGGATTTTGGGCACTGACCACATTTTCCTACCCCGGTCCAAAATCTGTGCCATGCGATATATGAAAAGACAATTTTACCAACTGTCGAGCTAGTTGGGCACATTTTCTATTAGCTAGCCGGTGTGAAAAGTACTCGCCTCGGGCTAGTTTAATTTCGATCCCACTCTGGCTTCGGCAACACTGCAAACATGTTTATTAGCGATTCACATCACGGGACTTGATTACAGACAATCTCCACTTATCAGGCAAAGCAACAAATCGCTAGGAAGATCTCTACAGAGGTACAGGAAGCATGAATTCATGAAGGCGGCCATTAGGCCACGTTTGATAGACCCCCGTGAGCAGTAGCTGGACGGAATCCATCTTCATCTATGGCTTTTTAAAAACATCTAAAACATGTGATTGCACACAACACATATCTGATGTCTTATATATGTATGTAGGTACATATTTTGGCGTTTTACTAACCATTTTTCAGTCTTTTCTGTCTCCTTAACCAGGAGCCTGGAGTCAAAGACAGGGGATTTGACTCCGCTGCATTAGAAAAAGGAAGTTTGCATTGCGCATGTTGCGTAAATAGCGTGTCGCAGGATGTAGCTTTACAGTAACACAAATGCTACACTGCCCTCTACAGTATAGGGTGGACAATGACAATACCAGCTAATAAAATGGCTCTAACAAGAGTACATGATCAAAAATGTGCATCACGGTGTGATTTTCCTTTATGGGTTTGTAATAAACCCTCAAAGTACTTTTATTGAAGCCATTTGAGGAGTACACCACATCAGTCACTGGCTTCATCAATAAGTGCATCGATGATGTCGTCCCCACAGTGACCGTACGTACATACCCCAACCAGAAGCCATGGATTACAGGAAACATCCGCACTGAGCTAAAGGGTAGAGCTGCCGCTTTCAAGGAACGGGACTCTAACCCGGACGCTTATAAGAAATCCCGCTATGACCTCCGACGAACCATCAAACAGGCAAAGAGTCAATACAGGTCTAAGATTGAATCATACTACACTGGCTCTGACGCTCGTCGGATGTGGCAGGGCTTGAAAACTATTACAGACTACAAAGGGAAGCACAGCCGCGAGCTGCCCAGTGACACAAGCCTACCAGACGAGCTAAACCACTTCTATGCTCGCTTCGAGGCAAGCAACACTGAAGCATGCATGAGAGCACCAGCTGTTCCGGACGACTATGTGATCACGCTCTCCGTAGCCGATGTGAGTAAGACTTTTAAGCAGGTCAACATTCACAAGGCCGCAGGGCCAGACGGATTACCAGGACATGTACTCCGAGCATGTGCTGACCAACTGGCAAGTGTCTTCACTGACATTTTCAACATGTCCCTGACTGAGTCTGTAATACCAACATGTTTCAAGCAGACCACCATAGTCCCCGTGCCCAAGAACTCTAAGATAACCTGCCTAAATGACTACCGACCCGTAGCACTGACGTCTGTAGCCATGAAGTGCTTTGAAAGACTGGTCATGGCTCACATCAACAGCATAATCCCAGAAACCCTAGACCCACTCCAATTTGCATACCGCCCCAACAGATCCACAGATGATGCAATCTCTATCGCACTCCACACTGCCCTTTCCCACCTGGACAAGAGGAACACCTACGTGAGAATGCTATTCATTGACTACAGCTCAGCATTCAACACCATAGTGCCCTCTAAGCTCATCACTAAGCTAAGGATCCTGGGACTAAACACCTCCCTCTGCAACTGGATCCTGGACTTCCTGACGGGCCGCCCCCAGGTGGTAAGGGTAGGTAACAACACATCTGCCACACTGATCCTCAACACGGGGGCCCCTCAGGGGTGCGTGCTCAGTCCCCTCCTGTACTCTCTGTTCACCCATGACTGCATGGCCAGGCACGACTCCAACACCATCATTAAGTTTGCCGACGACACAACAGTGGTAGGCCTGATCACAGACAACGATGAGACAGCCTATAGGGAGGAGGTCAGAGATCTGGCCGTGTGGTGCCAGGACAACAACCTCTCCCTCAACGTGACCAAGACAAAGGAGATGATTGTGGACTACAGGAAAAAAAAGAGGACTGAGCACGCCCCCATTCTCATCGACGGGGCTGTAGTGGAACAGGTTGAGAGCTTCAAGTTCCTTGGTGTCCACATCACCAACGAACTATCATGGTCCAAACACACCAAGACAGTCGTGAAGAGGGCACGACAAAGCCTATTCCCCCTCAGGAGACTAAAAAGATTTGGCATGGGTCCTCAGATCCTCAAAAAATTCTACAGCTGCACCATCGAGAGCATCCTGACTGGTTGCATCACCGCCTGGTATGGCAACTGCTTGGCCTCTGACCGCAAGGCACTACAGAGGGTAGTGCGTACGGCCCAGTACATCACTGGGGCAAAGCTCCCTGCCATCCAGGACCTCTATACCAGGCGGTGTCAGAGGAAGGCCCTCAAAATTGTCAAAGACTCCAGCCACCCTAGTCATAGACTGTTCTCTCTGCTACCGCACGGCAAGCGGTACCGGAGTGCCAAGTCTAGGTCCAAAAGACTTCTCAACAGCTTCTACCCCCAAGCCATAAGACTCCTGAACAGCTAATCATGGCTACCCGGACTATTTGCACTGCCCCCCCACCCCATCCTTTTTACGCTGCTGCTACTCTGTTAAGTATTTATGCATAGTCACTTTAACTCTACCCACATGTACATATTACCTCAACTACCTCAACTAGCCGGTGCCCCCGCACATTGACTCTGCAACGGTACCCCCCTGTATATATAGCCTCCCTACTGTCACTTTATTTTACTGTATATATAGCCTCCCTACTGTCACTTTATTTTACTTCTGCTCTTTTTTTCTCAACACTTTTTTGTTGTTGTTGTTTTATTCTTACTTTTTTTTTGTTTAAAATAAATGCACTGTTGGTTAAGGGCTGTAAGTAAGCATTTCACTGCAATGTCTGCACCTGTTGTATTCGGCGCATGTGACCAATAAAATTTGATTTGATTTGATTTGATTTGCCAAGTGTCCTACAACACAAATTGCATCACTCTGTGACTGTGCCATGATGTGTGTGCATGCATATATGTACATCTACTGAATAAAAACCAAAATTTTATTTGGTTTCCTTATTGCAAGGTATCTCTACATGTTGCTATAGGAACATGTTAATAATAAAAACAACAGACACACCCAAAGGATGTTGTACAGAATACACATGGGACATCAAAGGGAGGGTTTTCTTCATTATGTTTGCATTTTCAGCCCATAATAGACAGTAGGCAAGAGTCTTACGTCAGTGTTTTTTTTTTTCAGGACAGAGGAGGGTGTGGCTAACATAAGAAATATGATATCTACGTAAACACTGGCATTTCCATGTAAAACCAGAAAAGTTTGTTTGATGACCTTTTGTTCTTTGTGGATCGAGATAGTCGGCTCTGCCATTCACATCATTATCACCTGTCTTAGAAAAGGCATACCTGCTTCTTTTAGTCTGAGCTGGACAGCTGATAGTGAACCTTTATTTGGACATTTTCTGACTGACATTGAATAGTCGCTCTGTCACTAATCTCCACTGGGCAGATTCTGCATAGATTTTACTTCTAGGTTAACCGAGATTACTCTGTCACCCTCTCTGAGTGTGGCATGTTTGCTGTGATCCACTGGACAGCAATGTTCCAAAACTTCCTGTGGAATTGATACTACTGTCAGAGACAACAATGAGCCACAGGTGAGCTTGTGCTGTAGTGATTGGCTTCCAGTACTTTGCAGTTACTCTTGACTTTAGTAAGACTACAGCTAATAGGAACATACGCTTTTACAGAGCAAAAATAAACATCACAAGGTGTTATTATGTGAACGCTTGTTTATATTGTATTATATGATATTGTTTAGATTATTTTTTATGAGATAAAGTATAATACGGAATTATCAAGTGGGTCTATATTCTCTGATAGTGTCTTATGTTGTGTGCTGATATGAAATAGTAGACATGAACTTGATACATTTTTCAAAAGTCTAAAACCTAGCTATAGCTAATGGAGTTAATAAAGAGGTCAAAGAGTTGACGAAGGAACTTAAAAGGTTTGTGATTGAAACTACTGTAGCTAAGTGTACGGTAATAAAATAAACAGTAGATGGCAGTAGTAGTGTACTATTTTTCGGTAGTTGGGTTTTTGAGGTCGACTGACGTGACGCATGCTCTGTACGGTGGATGTAAACATTGGAGCTGCCCTTTTGTTGGCACGAGCTGGCTGTAGATTTGTGTACACGTATTCGGCTCAATGGGTGGTTGGACGTGGAGCTGTTGCCTGGTGGAATCAGCTAGCAAACTCGACCTGAAAAATAAATCAGAAACCAGGCTATTGAACTCGTTTAAATTCAATTGCGCAAGACTGTGCAGTTGTACATTGGTCAATGGAAAGTTAATATTTATCTATCTGGACTGAAAACGCGACTAGGCACGGTAAGCGCGGTTTAGACTTTTTTCTTTTTTGCGAGGAAGGAGTTGTTGCTTTGGATAACTAACTACAGTAGCTATCTAGCTAACGTTAACGTGTTTGGAAATAGTCTGGAGCTAATCATGTGTTTGGTGTGGTGATTGACAGGGCACTGTATTTCAGTTCGTCATTTTATGTCGCTAAATAGTTAGTTGTTTAGGTATTGTAACTAGCTAACTAACGTTAGCAACTTCCATAACATCCAAGATACGCACAACTGTTAGCTATTAATTCGTAATTCATAGCTAGTCGAACTTTATGCAAACTGTTTCCTGAATCCTTTAGCCAGCCAATTTACGTTAACAGAAAGTTAGTTATAACGTGGACAGCTAACAAAAACTCACACCTCATTTATACTGACTGCAGAGACAACCCCCGTTAAACACATTTCAGTTGCTGTACATTAGCTACATTTTACTGTCATAGTAACGTTAGTCACACAATGGTGGAAATGAAATGTTTTATTTGCTAATCGTTTTACACTTTCAAGACTGAAGATCTAGTTGAAGATAATCTGTTTCTAGTCCACCATAGTCACAATTTCCAGGTGAGGTCTTTAAATTCTTCAGATGAGGGGTGCCTGGCTGACAAACTCCTGTCATTCAAGTCATTGGCTGAGAGAGAGAACTGTAACGGTTACCTCTACTGTACAGCTATCCAGTTCTTTGTGTACAGTGAGAAAGAAATAAGTCAGTGTTGGTAGGGCTAGCCGAGGACATTTATTTTCCATTCTCCTTTTCTTAGCTTGTGTTTACTTTTCATGGAAAGTAAGCACACCAAGGAATTTTCATCATAGGTGCTGGATGAAATCCTTGCTGAAATGTTTCTATAAACCCCACTGTTTCCATCTGAGCCTTGGAAGTAAACATAGCTGCACTCTCACTATGCAGGAACCCCCCTCAACCCTAGCTCTCTGGGGAAGTCTCAAATGGCACCCTATTCCCTATATGGTGCACAACGTTTGACCAGAGCCCTATGGTCAAAAGTAGTGGACTAAATAGGGAATAGGGTGCAATTTGGGACGCATGGGTGCTGA